GTGTGTGTGTGTGTACCCACAGCATGTCCAGGTGAATATACAGGTGAGTGTGTGTGTGTGTGTGTGTGTGTACCCACAGCATGTCCAGGTGAATATATAGATGAGTGTGTGTGTGTGTGTGTGTGTGTGTGTGTGTGTGTACCCAAAGCATGTCCAGGTGAATATATAGGCGAGAGAGAGAGAAGGGGGGAGGGAGGGAAGGAGGAGAGAGAAAAAAGAGAGAGAGAGATGATAGATCCCCCTCCATCAGCCTGAGGGAACAATACTGCCAAATAAAACACAATGACACTATTAAAAATAGCATTTTTACAGTTGAATTCAATTATGAAGAGCAGCCTAAAAGCAGGCTTTTGAAGAGGAAGCAAGTCAATAGGCTTCAAGGCTATTATTAGTGCCTGTCATTTAGAGAACATCTTCCTTTCTCGTGCAACTCCGCTGAAGTCCTGGAAGATACTCAGGTCGGAAATGGGGAATTATTGGGCTCGATGTGCATGTGGAGGAAGGAGTTGAGATGAGGCCTCTGAGAGGAGGAGGAGGAGGAGGGAAGAAGGGCTCTTTTGTGCAGGTACAACAACAGGTGTCAGTAGTGTCCAAAAGTGAAGAAGCAGTCCTGGAAAGGATTAGGAAAACAAGAAGGGCCCCTGAAGGGCTGCCGCTTTGACATTCTGTTTCTGTTAGTGAGACAGCTATGCAAATAAGCCCCTTTTAGTTCCCTCAGAGAAAAGGGGGGAGGAGGAGGAGGAGTGGAGCTAAGGACTCCTATGAGATGCCTGACTTTGCAGGCCAGTCGGTGGCACAAAGCTGTCCTCACAGTTCTAAGGGCCACCTCACCAAGGAGTGGAGCCAGTCAACAGGGAATGACCAGCGGAGAGGAGAAAGAGAGAGAAGAGAGGGTGCCCGCGCAAGTGTGTGAATTCTTCTGCTCTCCATCTGTCTGCCTGACAGTTGGAGAGTGGAGTCTCCAGGGATTAGGTGGGAGGGTGCCTCCTGTGACAGAGACAGACAGGCTGAAGCCTAGACAGCAGGGAGAGGGGGAATGACAACAATGGATGCTCCCTGTGGTCCAGGTGGCCAAGGGAAACTTCTCTGGCGCTTTGAGCGGAAACCCATGGAGTGAGGGCAAATGCTGTCAGGCCCAAACTATGCCAGGAAAGCTGGCTCTGCCTAGAACAAGGACGAGGGGTCCAACCTCTGGTGGTGAGGGCTGGGGTTTTCTTGCCCCCCACCCCCAGATAGTACAGCATGCCTTGCACAGCCTAGTGCAACCCCTTCAAATCAAAAGAACAGTCAGGAAGGAGGGAGGGAGAAGGGTGTAGGTGGTATCTGGGAATTCAAGAGAGAAGGCACCAAGGGGCTGTTGCCAAGGAGACTATGGACGAGCACATCAAGGCTTTCATAATCCCCAAATCAGCTCAGAAACACTCTTAGTGAATTTTGTGTGCTGTGCACCACGGGGCTGTTTATGGGATGGCTAGACCAGTTCTCAGACCTGGGCAGTGGGGTTCCGGCCCAGGGCCCACACTGCATTACAAAGAGACTGTGGTAAAGTTTGGGTCCTACCCAAGAAGAGAGATTAAACACATTGCATTAATAGTATTGCAAGTCCCCCAAAATTGCTTTGTCCTCCGGATATGCTCCAAAGTGAGTATCTTTCAGGTGTGTGTCTCCTGGCCCCACAGCCTCTCCCTGGGACAGAGGACTCCTTCCTGGTCCCATGACCTGCCAAGCTGGTTCCCCTCCCAGAGAGTCCTACCTGTACCTTCTCCCTGGGCCTCTTCCTACCTCCCTTCGTCTCAAGTCCTTTTTATCATTCTTCAGGTCGCAGCCCAAATGCCCTCTCCTCATACTTTCCTGGGATGCTCTGTCTCATAAAACTAAACACTCTACCCTTCACCAAAATTATAAATTACTTCTTTGTGTGTGTGTGTGTGTGTGAACAGCTAACTTTATTCTACCAGCAATGGGGACTTTATGGAGGTTTTTAAAAGAACATCTTTTTTTCCTCTTCAAATTTTTAAAACATATGCATAATAGAAAATGGAAATGCAGAGAACACAAAAGCCACCCATAATCATCGTGATGATTAGTTTATGTCCTTTTACATTTTCTGTGTATATATATATAAAGGTGACCCAACTGAGTGTGGAAACTACAGAACAGTGTCATTGATTTCACATGCAAGCAAGATTCTGCTGAAGATCATCCAAAAACGATTAGAACAGCACATCAGCAGAGAACTGCCGGAAGTCCAGGCTGGGTTTAGAAGGGGTCGTGGTACTAGGGATATCGTTGCTGATGTTAGATGGATCTTGGCTGAAAGCAGAGAATACCAGAAGAATGTCTATCTGTGTTTCATTGATTATGCAAAGGCATTTGACTGTGTGGATCATAACAAACTGTGGCTGACTCTGAGAAGAATGGGAATCCCAGAACATTTAATTGTGCTAATATGAAACCTATACTTGGACCAAGAGGCAGTAGTCAGAACAGAGCAGGGTAACACTGCATGGTTCAAAATTGGGAAGGGTATACTCCAGGGATGCATCCTGTCTCCATACCTTTTCAACATGTATGCAGAGCAGATTATCCGAGAGGCTGGGCTCTATGAGGAGAATTGTGGCATCAGGATTGGTGGAAGGTCTATTAACAATCTGCGTTATGCAGATGACACAACCCTGCTTGCTGAAACTGAGGAGGACCTCATGCACTTGCTCCGAAGGGTCAAGGACTGCAGCCTTCAGTATGGACTGAGGCTCAATGTCAAGAAGACAAAGATTCTCGCCACTGGACCAATTGGCAGCATCAGGATGGATGATGAAGAGATTGAGAGTGTTCACAGCTTCAGTTTGCTCAGCTCTTGGCACCAGCAGTCAGGAAATCAAAAAGCATATCGCGATGGGAAAGTCTGCTCTTAGGGACCTCTCTAAGGTACTCAGGAACAACAGTGTCTCTCTGGAGGCTAAGGTGCGCCTGATACAGGCCATGGTATTTGCAATCGCTTGTTATGCATCAGAGAGTTGGACAATGACTAGGGAGGACAGAAGGAGAGTGGATGCTTTTGAGCTGTGGTGCTGGAGAAGGGTACTGAATGTACCATGGACTGCCAGGAAAACAAACAGATTTATCTTGGAGAGGATTAAACCAAGCTACTCCTTGGAGGCAAGGATTCTGGGGCTTCGTCTGACATACTTTGGACATGTTGCCAGGAGGGACGGGTCCTTGGAGAGGGACATCATGCTTGGGAGGGTTGAGAGACAACGCAGGAGGGGAAGACCCTCTTTGAGATGGATTGATTTGGTGACTGGGGTAATCGGGATGGGTGTGTCAGAGGCAGTGCGGTTGGCGAAGGATAGAGCAGGGTTTAGGGCTGTTGTGCATAGGGTCGCTATGAGTCGGAAACGACTCGACGGCACATAACAACAACAACATATACACAACACCAAGCATATACATTTTTATCTGGTTGAGGCCACACACTGTGGATTCATGCTTTTCGTGCATCACAATTATTTACGAATTCAGAATCCCAAAGCCATGACTATTTTGAACCAAGAACACACTATACTTACTCAATCAGGAAGGACAAAAAAGCAGTCAGCCATTCTTGGGGACAGAAATTTTATAAAGATAAAAAACGGCACACTCCTCTAGATATTGGCAGAGCTACAATTACAACACTACATTCCTTTAATGGGTAATTTAAAATAAAACATAAAGTAAGAGTATAATGCTTCTAAGATAGCTATCAGATCTCTCTTAAAATTTAATAATGTAAATAGGCAATAGATGTACACGCGTACCATGGTTACTATAAAAATTCCAATACGCACGTCTCCTCTCACATGTCTCCCTGCTCCTCTGCAGCCAATGATCAATCTGGATGGACACTCCTCAGAGGTGGTATAGCACTTCCGTGCAGGGATGTCAACCCCACCTCCTCACGACAACGAATCAAAATCCTGCCCCATCCTCATAATCTGCTGTGCTGAAGCTGACTTGCACTGCCGTTCGCTTACACCAGTTCGTCCCCTGGAGGGTCTCCCTGTCTTTCTCGGACCCTCTACCCTTCCCTACACCATGTCCTTTTCCATGGACTGACTCCTTTGGACAACATGCCCCAGAGTATGAGAGACAAAATTCTCACAATCTCTGCCTCTGATTGTTGTTCTGACTAATGCCTATCATTTAGAGGAGTTCCGGTGGTGCCGTCAGCTACTAACCAAATAGTTGACAGTTTGAACCCAACAGCTGCTCTGCAGAAGTAAATGAAGACAATCTGCTTCCATAAAAATGAAAACCCCGAGAATGGGCTTGAGAGACCTTTTCTATGAAGGTGGTGCTGAAAGCGAAGAAAGAAGCCCCTGCCCCTCCCAAAACTGAAGCCAAAACAAAGGCTTTAAAGGCCAAGAAGGCATCCTGAAGGGCATCCACG